GTTATAATCTGTTTAAAAGACAACAAAAGCACCGAAGAACTGAGTATACAGCTACCCTGTCACACACTGCTTTTATGAACATGCAAAGCAGACATCTTAACAGGCAGTGATGTTGGCTCCCTTAGTTTGTATAGGCAGACAAATTATAACACTTTCAATGTTTCTATCATAAAAATCACTTATGCAAACACCTCAGAAGTGAACAATAAAAACCTGACATTGTTTACCAAACTGGAGTCTTGTCCTATTTAAGTATCACATACATCAGAAAGATTTACTACTAGCCATTTGTGCAAAATTGTCACACAGTAATTTGTGGAAAAAAGGCATAATAATCACATCAGATGCTTCCTGTGTTTCAAACTTTGCAATAAAATTCCTGTTTATGTTTCCAAACAAGGGAAAATCAAGCAGTGACAAAACATGACTTCGAGTGCCACCCCCCAATTTCAGCTGATTAGATTGCACCTGGCGAGAGGAAACTAAAAGTCCAGCTCATTTAAAACCGCAACCGTATCTATTCTTAAATTGCAAGTTTGCAACTTACTAGGTCTGAGTTCTCCAAGATTTGGCTGGTGGTCAGGTCCTCCTCCTCCGATGACTCATCGGAGTCCTCATGGTTCATTTTGTTCAGGCTGGGCGTGCTTCCTGAGAGCTGGCTCTCTTCCAGCAGCTGCATGTCACACTTGTCCAGGCTATCCAGGGACCGTCTGCGTACTCCCCAGTTGAAGTTGTCCATGCTCTCACCCTGAAATCAGACACAGGGTGAGCTTCCTTGATTTGAAACTCATCATATAAAAACCACTAATCATTAGTGGTTTAAAGCTAATCATTAAAGTTAGCTCAAGAAATGTTTTTATGTAAAAATATAATACAAACTTGATATAAACATTATTTTGTTAAGCAATAATGTAAAAGGAGCATTTAAAATTTCCCAGTATTTCACCTGCAGATAAGAGCAGAAGCATGGAAATGACAGTTAAATGAAGATTCATTCTTTTCAGTATTAGATGTTTTTCATGCACTTGCTGGTTCAAGAATTCGTTTTCATAAGTCAACATACACACACCTCAACACCAGTAGAGCAGTGACAGGCAAAAGAAAAGTTCAGAAGCAATTTTGAAGGATTTTTCTGTGATGTTTAAAAATATTAGAAGCACAGTTCATAGCAATGGTTCAATTGTGAAACATATGTTAAAGATTTTAGACTCTTTTCATTATATATGTAACCATAATGATGAGTTAAGGCAGATTTGAATGAATCCTTCATTTAGCACGCAAAATGTAACAGCTAAAGCAGCTCACCTTTTAAAACTTTTATTCTAGGCCCATGTAGCTTATTTTTGTAACTTCAATTTATTTTAATTATTTGAAACTATACTCTGTGAATAACCTGATCAGCACTGAGATTCCACTTTTTAAACAGGACACAGTCAAATGGACTAAACATTTTATATTCAGTTCCAATCCCACATGCAGTTACATAAAACCAAGTGCATTAAACAGATTCCATAACTATTTGTTAGGATGGTGAACTGAACCAAAGATCACCTGGTTTCTTTCATGTATAAAAATGATAATTAGTTTCCCACCATTTTTCCATTTGTTTACTTTATGTATTTTCCAGTGGAAGGTATCCTGTTTCCCTAATTGTGCTAATTCTCTTGCTCCCTTCTTCAAGTCTAGCCAGGTTCCTCTTCAGCCAATGCAGGAGCGTGTCCACAACTATTCCCATCATGGACCTGCAGAGCCCAAAGGGCCCTTACACAGCATGAAGGGTCTAACCAGAAGTACACAGTTGTGGTTTTGGATACTTTATCTAGGTGAAAGCCCTCAACCTTATATCAACACAGAAAGGAGATTTACAGAGAAAAATGTTTCTTTTTAAAGATTCAGGGCTGACCGTTTAAAACAAGACCCTGTAAGATGCAACACTCCTAAACAAGCAAACCAGCTGCTGAAAATTCAAGTTGACAGTGATCTTTTAAATATGAATTTGACAAAAATATAGTTCTGCCTAAAAAAAATCATAAACATTATTATCAAATCACTGGTTATGGAAGGAGTATATCCTAGGCTCATGCAGATTAAAATTATATGCAATCATAGAGAAAGAGGTTTCAGTTCAGTAGGTACTTAAGTAGATTTTAATTTTATACGCTTGAGCAATCCCCATTCAAGACTACTCAGACATTTACTGAATGAGGACTAAAATGCATAAAGTGCAATTAATTCAATTGCAATCTTACCTCCTTAACAATCAACAAACTTGCAGAAATAGATCTGATTTTGTATCATTGCCCTTTAATGCAATGGACTTTGGAATATGATTAGAAAGAGGGAAAGTTCCATTTCATGACACTAAGCTCACTGTTCATGAACAAACAGGAGAAAAAAATATTCTTTAGGAAAAAGATAATCCAGAAATGCAAGGACTGTAATTCATAAGAATATTTAGAACTGAGGAATGCACCATATTCAAGAGCAAATGAACACGAAATTGTTACGAAGACCAACACATTATTGGAAGAACCCTGTGTTTACATCCTGGGACTGGGATCATATGGTAGCTTTGTGAGGGAAGAGAACAGAACACATCTAAGATTTAAGAAATTAGGTCTCTTTAAATCCTAAAAGTGACTGTTCAGTTCCCAGCTATTTATCTTAACAAATTCTTCAGCTGTCCATCCTCCCCCACAAAGGCTGTAGGACGCATGCAGCAATGAGACATCCTCCACAAAGACATCAGTTACTGAACTAACAAATTACAAAATGACATAAATAAGCAAGCAAGCAAAGATGACCGTCATCACACCCTGATCCTCATGTTGCCTAGTACAGCTACCAGTAAACGATGCAGCCCTTGTCTATGGGAATATTTCTTGTTGCAGTTTTATTCTGCAATGTCTTAAAGAAGGAAGCCAGCAAAAAGAAGAAAAATGAAAAGGTACACTTGTAGGGCATGCAATTAGAAAGGGGAGTGAATTAAAAGTGAGGAAAAAGGGTAAGAGAGATGAAACACAGTATAACCCAAATACCCATAGTAGTTGGGTTAGTGTAAGCTTGGTACAGGAGCACCCAGAATCATACTGAATTTAAGCAAGAGGTCAACACATGTCTACAAAGATGGAGTTGTTTTTGTAGTCTGTTAAGCAATCTTTTTTTCACAGTTAACAAGAAGGAGGGAAGATGTATTTGAAAGGCTGTTCATTTTTATCTACAGCTGGAGCAAAGGCATCTCCTATTTGAGAAGCCACCAGTAACAAACATCAATTCAAAATAAGAGAGTCACATATTATAAATGTGTGTGGCCAGCAGTGAGCAGGTACCACACAGGACTTCCCACAATCACCACGCTCTCGTAAAGGAGCGGATGTGCCCTTGCAGGCACTCTACCACAACCCAGGGGGAAGGAGAGACACGGAAAGGGCAGTAAAAAGGTAAGTAACCCTATGTGGGGGAGAGCAGTGTAGCTCCTCCATAAAGCGGGTAAGAATCATGCAAAACATCTTTCACACAAGTCTTTACCTTACTGTATTGACAGAGTGTGCAAAGCTAACGGAGTCACACAAATATTGTGGAACTGCATAGTAAGGCTCTGTTTCCACGGTTGTATCTTTTAGAGTGCAGGCGTTTTGAGACAAAGATTTTTTGGGGGTTGCGTTTGCATAATAACGGGTGTAAAAACTATCAGAAACAAACGTGCAAATTACTGCTGTTGCTGATTTTTGTGTCGTTCGTGCAACTCATGACAATTCTTTGTCATGTCAGTTCTCTCTGTACATTGATAAACTGCAAGTTTAGGTCCCAAACTCGCAACCACTGACACGCCTTTTCAGTTTTCTTCACAAGGTAAATGAGTCCAGCAAAATTGGTAGGAGTATATAGCTGAACTAAATTAAACTGTATGAATTAATTAATTTATTCTATTAAATTCAGGCTGGTAGGCAGTGATGTAGACTTTCTGAAGAGGTCTCAGGTATCAGGCTTACCAAGATGCTAACAGGAGCCAATATACCACAACTGAAATTATACATGATTTGCCCATGGAGACAAATGATCCAAACTTTACTATGTTATAAATAGTGAAGTTCTTATTTTGTTTCTACATATTATTTATGCACAAAGATACTAAAAGGAGAAATGGCTCAATTTGAAAAATGTTGATACTAGAATTAAGTATTTTAAAATTTGTGAAGACTGTTGAACATGTCAAAAGCAAACCGAAGCAGAATTTTTGAAAAAGACCTCAAAAAAATTTCTAATACAAGACAAAAAACGAAGCACCTGTCAGAAGTGCAAGCACACGCACACTCACCCACCCACCTGCCTGCTGAAGAGGGAGACGGCAACAACAAAACTATGATGTTATTCTATAATACATGTTTGCAAGAAGGCATAACATATACTGGCATATCTGAGTTCAAGTAGCGTTCTTACCTGAAGTTCCTGGGTAGCAGATACAACAGATAGAAAAACAAATAGAAAGAATCTATGTAAAATCACTGTATTAAAGACATCATGGACAAACATTTGCCTAGAATTTTAACTAATACTGTCACAGAAACTTCAACTCTTCAGCCTGTCTTTTAAGTTGGAAAATAACCATTACTTGCTTTCACATCTCTTTGAAATTTCAAACAAGTACGTCTTGTGGTCTGGAGATGATACAAGCATCACTGGCCTCTTTAAATCATAAGGTGTTTTTGGAAAGAATATTTGTGCTCTTCCTAGCTTAAGTTTTCTAATGCTGTTTTATTCATGTTTATGAATATATCAAATTCAGACCTGATGTAAATGATACAGTTTCAATTCGGTCATTAGAGATGTAGTAGCCTCTTACACCAGGTTTGAATTTGGCTGAAGTATCTTTATTTAAAACAGTAGTAAGTCAGTCTGAGCTAAACCTTGGAGTGCAAAGTCTCAGATCCATGGTAATTTAAAAACTGTGTTAAAAGACTACATTTTTGATTTTACTTCAAATAAAACTAGGGAAGCTTAGTATCTGTTCCACAACCGACTTAAGACAATTAGCATATTGATTAATTTAGGCCTCAGTCTTGAAGTCAGCCACACATATAAAACAAATCTTTGCAGGGTCACCATCCATGAAGGTAAACTCGCTTTGACAGGAAATGTTCTGCGCAATTATGTATAATCTGTATACGGTTTTAACTGGTGTATAGTTTTTAAGTTGGTATGTTTTTTGACAAACAATCTGGCATTGCTGTTTTATAATTTATCATTGTTTGGAACATTAAAGCTCCTTCATAATATTCGGCTAATATATTTTCAACTATTGATGCCAATTCCTTTTTATTTTTTTTTTAGCAAAGTCATGGGCAGCTGTGAACCAAAATCATTGTATTTTGATACAGAGATTCCTGACTTGGAAAATAAGGACTCTGTGACATCTCTTTCCGTTCCTTCACCCTTTCTCTTCATTGAAAAAAAGATCAAAATTCAGACATATGTGAGTTCACGTCTGAGGGGCCTGTTAACCTTAAAATTATTTTATTACTTTAATTCAACTAGGGAGAGAACTGATTATTTCTTTTTGTACACATGTTCTTCTCAGGGCTAAGAGCAATGCCTAAGAGAATTCATGTTAAAATTGAGTCCAGATGATGACAAGACAATTCATTAAAATGTTAGGTTTGCTGAACATCTGCACCTTAAGTATCTCAAAAGAGCTAACAATTTCTGAACTTTTAAATAGAAACAAAATTGCTAGACTTGTTTGGCAATGGATATTCAGTTTTGGTCTTTCCCACCCAGATAGAAAGAAATACTCCAAGTCTGATATAAGCAAGGGTAAAGGGTGTAGGCCCCCAAAATTCAGCAGTTCTTCAACTTTTTCCCTTCAGCAGTTTCAGCTCAAGGTGAGCTGACGGGCTTCACCTGTCAAGACTTGATCTGCGCCCTCAGGGTTCTGTTTAGCTCCTGCATGAAATAATGAAGTCACAGACACCTAAGCAGAGTGGAAGGTACATCTCTCTGAGCGTCAGTGATTTCATCAGCAGTTGCAGGATTAACAACAGCCCGAAGGCCTGAACTCATGTTTTGGAGGGTTGCTCTTGAGCCAACAGACTTGGAACAATTTCATTTTATGGGTTTTTAATCGGCAAATATATATTTTTTTAACAATTTAGACCTTTAAAAATTGTATTTAAAACAAATTCACATCAAAGTAAACGCAGTGAAAAGGTACTAGACAGAGGCTTTATCTTCCAGTAACAGTTTTGCAGTGTTTCCTAAAGCAGATTCAGAAAGGAAGGGTGTGGTAGCCTCTTACTGTTACGCTACTGAAATAAACACTAAGTGAATATTTTAAATAATCTGAACTCAAAAGTAACTTTATAGTTATACAGTTAAAGTTCTATGTTACAAGAAGAGTATAGTTTTTAGTAGAAAGAATATCAAACTGTTAGAATAAAAAAGCTATTTCAGAGAAAATATACCGTACCTCCCCATCTTCCAGCTCAACATCTAGGAAATCAAAGTCCCTAAAGACTCTGAATTGTTGTTCACTGTTTGAATCATCCATGTTCTCCTGCTCCCTTGTTCCGTCTTCTGAAGACACCAAGCTCGTCTGGTGCTCAATCAGATCCAGATCACCACAGGAAGAAAAAATCACCTACAATTCAAACGATTTTTCTTGTAACAAACTGTTCCCTCTGGTTGTTTCTTCCTGAAAGCTGTAATTGGTTATTCGGAAGACTGTATTTCCAGTACACACCTAATTCCTTCACTGAGTATTTTTAGAACACTCTTTATTATTTATGTTGGACAGGTGCCTTCAGATTAAACTTGTACAAAGAAACAACTTCATACTGCAGGAACACGTCCAAGAATATTACAGCTACCTCCTAATGGCTGCAGATTGATGTTGCCTGGATGTTTGTATAGATTAATAGGAACAAAATTTGGAGAACTTAGCAAAGAAAATACTGTCAAGGGGATGAAGTAGTAAGTTCATAAAAAAATCTCTAGCTGAAAATGATGTTCAAAAATATGTCAAGATTAGAAAACACACAAGCTACAATTTTTCATTTCCTATAAAAAATAACTATATCTGCAGTCTAGTTACAAAAATGCAACAGTCCCTGTCTTGCAGAAATGAAGCACTTGTTCATCATAATGTGAGTTACAATATATTCAAAAATATTACGAAATTTCCCTTTTCTGTAGAAAATATTTAATAACTATTTTAATATCTTCCTACCCTGGATGATCTATTGCTTGTTTCACAATATTAATTTTTAAAGAATAACATTAGAACTACTATCTAATGGAAAAATCAGACATCCCCCTCAGTTTTATTTCTGTAATTTTATCTTTTACTTTATAAGGGCTCTAGATTGGTAACACCAGAGGTCATTACTCTCTACCCACTGAGCTGCCATAAGTAAAACCTATAGCATCAAAGATCTCTCACAGCAAAACCATATGTAGCTCTGTAAGTAAATCATCTTTAAGTGAGAGGGCCATTCACTCACTGGTCTATACGCTGAGAAATGCAGTGTGGGCCAGTGCAAACGACGATGATAGTAACGTGACAAGAAGCTATACAAATCAAGTCAGCACAATGAAACGAAGAAATGGTCAATACAAGGCTACTTACTGAAGGATTTTTGCTCAGCCCAACTTCCTGACCACATAGAGAAAGGACATGCACCAGCTTTTCCTTTGTCCTTTTCTAGAAAACAAGACGTTTCTCAAATGAGCATTTTTTTTAACCACCTATTCTCCTGGTAGCTACAAACACACATTAACAGTTTTTAATTAGGAGGAATAAACCAAAGAATTAGCCACTAAGTGCTCAAAGGGTTGCTTTCAGAGCAGCTATGCATACAAGGAAACATATGAATTGCTGTTAATGATTTTGGTGTTTATTATTTTTAAATTAGCCTATTAATTCTATTGAGCATAATAACGAAACATTGGATCCTGCACATACTTCAAAAGGACAGTTCAGAAGCTTATAATTAAGCACAAGCATAATTATTTTTTGCAGAATTGGTGCCTGAGCCACTGCTATATAATCTGCTATATTAAAAAAAAAAAGCAACAAGAAATACATTTATTCTGCTTGGTTTTATTTTAACTGGCAGATAGCCAAAATCAATAAGGTAATCAAATATTACTTTTAGTAAAATTGTCCCAAGGAATTGTTTTTATTTGATTTCCAAGAAAACAACACCTAGAAAGTTGTCCATGCTGTCTATCTGCCCTCCTTGCTAATATCTGAATTCACCTGTCATTCTTAGGTAAATCTGACCTAGGCTTAGAGGTCTTAAAGGGATGCATTTCCTGCACGTTGAAAGAAAAACACCAGCAGGATAGATGACAGGCATAACTCAGTCCATGTCTGAGTCCAAGAAAGATGTTCAGCACAGAGTCAGTCAGATGCTGCAACTGCCCCAGCCAGCCAGGAGCACTGCGCAGGGCACAGTGGGCACAAGCATTTAGGAATCTAGTGCATGTTAATTCAGCTGCTCCGAGACTAACTTGTTAATGAATAGCGGACTACTTAAATGGAGTTTACCTGAGAGTACTGGGGTCTCTTCCAGCTCACAGGAACAAGGACATTGGAGTTAGATCCTGATGAAGTTGAAGAAGTGCTTCGGGTGACAGCCATTGCCCTGGATTTACCATCTCGTCCAGAAGAACTTTGCAGCTCATCATACCGTCTCCCAATAATTGGAGTCTTAAATAGAGAGTAATTATTCGCTAGTGCTATGCTCCAGGGCATATATATTTATAATGGGTCATAGTGCTTCAGTTGCAGGAAAAGATTACTCTGATGGTCATATTCAGGAGTAAAACAAGGAGTGCATCAAATTTCATGTCACTTCAAATGAATGTTATTTTCCACTGTGAACATCTCAGTAACAATTGGGATACGTAGTAGCTAAGGCTTATGCTCCCGAACAGCTAAGACTCAAACTAGTCAAAAAAGTCTGCAGCATAAGAACCAGCAAAAAAACCCCCAGAAATCTTATGAAGTTTATTTCAAATCCATATTTCTTGCACGTGTTTTTTAATAGGTTTTTCCTAAGACTGCTGAACACTCTGGACCAGTTCCAATAAACATTGAAATGCTTTATTGGATTGATAATAGGATGCTCAACATTTTCTAGAACTATACCTACATGAAACAGCAAGAAGAAACTTTATAAAATAGTACGAGATGCCTTTTTATGTTCATGCTTCCTTTTAACCTCAAAGTCTCACTATTATCTATATGAAATAGTCCACAATGCTGCAAACCGTCCTTCCTGCAGGTTCATAACTATAAATAAAGTGAGTTGCCCATTAAAGTCAATAGGACCACTCAGTTCTATAAAGTTAAAAGGTGTACAAGGTTTGCAGGATAAAGATCACTGTAAAAGATCTCAGTCAGAAGTCAGACAGTACTCCCTTGAAGGACATACTTCTGTGTTTAAGCGTTACAGAGAACATTGGCATCGAAGTGTAAAATACATATAGTATACTTATATATCACAGTTGGCATAACTGCCACACAGCTTTCACACTAGATAATTTTAAATGCAACTAATAACTCCTTCACAAAAAAATCTAGTAAAATTCCACAAAGAGCCCTCCAGCATGGGTCACTATATATGTCACTGTGGATCAAAAAGAACTTAAGAGACTTCCAGTGTGGTAAATTTCCTTTCTTTCTCAATTTTTCAGCCTTCTGAAGGAGCTGCAACACACGTTTTAGGATTATCAAACAAGACAGTTAAGGTGTTAAGTAGCAGAATTACAAACAGTACCTCTGAAATATCAAAATGAAACTCTAAAGTCTTCCCTGGTAGCTCCTTGGAGGCACTGTTCCACACTCGATGTATTTCCATTTTTGAAAGATCGTTGTGTTGATAGGACGGTAAAACTAAACTGGCAGACCGAGAAACTACCAACTTCAGGATATTCAAGGCTTCTCTCCAGTGAATGCTCTAGAAATAGGCATATTTAATCAGCAAGTGGAAAGACAGATTCACTCACATTCAAGACGATTTACAGTCATATTTTTTGCCACATAACAAAAATGAGGAATTGGAATATTACTGTTCTGTCCCTCTCTTGGCCACTGACAAGACACGTACCTGCAGAATAATTTCAACAGCAGAGACCAAGACTTGCCTAAGTTGTCATTGTTGGGGAACTGGCCTGTAACCTGGAAGATTTGAGCGCAAGGCCAACTTGGCGAAGGATTTAAAATCTCCTACCTGAATGCCTTAACCAGTATGAATAAATATAAGGGCCATTGCAGAATCCTCATTTAACAGAAAAGCTGACTTGACACAGGCTTTATACAGGTGTGAATTTCTAGTAGAAATATATATTTTCCACTTGCCAAGAATTAGGTGCAGAAGTCTCTGAAGGAAAGTGCTTATGTCACATCTCCTTCATGCTACTAAGTAAACAGGGTGGTCAGTCAGGCTCTGCCTGGTACTAAGCTTGCTCCTGATGTAGTGGAGCTGCAGCCTAATCTTTCCCACACAGTGAACACACAGCTGGGCATCTTCTCTGGGGACGCACAACTTAAGATAGTAAATACTGCTAAGTTCCTATGTTAATATAAAGAAGATAGGGTACTTACCTGTACATATTTTTCAATGGTTTTCAGAACTTCCATGTTAAACTGTTTCACAGGAATAGCTGACAGGTCCATATAACTAAGAAGACTGTAGATCATCTGTAAGAGGGACTGTTGCATACTAGGAAGGCCTTTTTCTAGTAGCTGTTAAAAAAAAAAGTGAAAACAACTAAATTTTGAGATGTTTCTTCTTGTGGAAAAACCTACTAATTTCATGAATACCATTTCTAATGTTAATCTTTCTTCACTCACTGATTTTGCAATGCCATTTTACAATCATTTTACAAGTGATGATGATACAAGTGTGAAACACAAGAGAGCTTTAAGTTGGGAGCCAAATGCTAGCCTGTTTTGATAATGAAACATACATTTTATATATGCCTGCCCTAACTTATCCAGAAAACACATTCAGCAGTTGAGTAACCTGGCAGGTAAAATTCACGCTGTAATTGGGGAAGCACATCCAATAAAAACAGGGGAGTATCTTTTTATTTCTACCTTTGCTGAAAGTCAATGAGAAAAAAGAAAACATGCTGAAGAAACAAAACTACTACTATTCAGACATCAATATGTATTTATCCAAATACATTTCACTGCCAGTGCTCACTGGCTGTAACTGCCAAGGAAATATTTTCTGTTAAGGAGGAGATGGAGTCCCTGGGCTCTCTTACTGTAGAGGCTAATATAAAGAAGGGCTTGACCTAAATCCTGAAATTTTGGAACACCTGAGTGCAGATCCCGGAATACCACAATGAACCTTGGAAATGCAACTGTGCTCCTATGTATACCTGACAGTAATTCAGGAGGCGTACAGCCAGCCATGCTATGTTTGCACATGTGTGTGAAATACCTCAGCTGAAAATTTCCTGGAAGGTAGCATGTTCTTTCACTACTGACAGGTACTGTCCCACCCCACAAATTTCAGAGGCAACCAAATGTTATTGCTGGAGGTTACCAGAGGCTCAACACTGGACTCTATCCTTCTGCTCAGGCCAACAAAAAAGTTCTTCTAACACAGGTTACTGGAGATACTAGGGTCTAGAAAACAATTACTTATAAAAACTCTGTGCTGCCTCATGTCTTTCACCAGAGAAAAATTTCAACTATTATCTAAGTGGAGTACTCGCCGGCCTGAATGACAAGGCTCCTCTTTTTATTGAATAAGAACGCTTCGTGCCGGCCAAAATGGAATGAGCAGGTAGGATACACACCTATCTCATTTCAATAAATATTTTCTGATTTCTTTCATCAGTAAAAGTGAGTAGTAATTAGTGATTCATAAAACAAAGTAGGCAAATTCCATTAACAGCACAATACATGGAACTCACTATGCTTTATCTATTCCTCTACAGAAAGACAGCAAGACTTTTAAACTAAAGGTACTACATGGTAACCTGCTTCAGCCCATGGATATCTTTACTAACAGATAAAACATGCTTAGCAATTCTTCAAAAAAAGGGTTGTAGACTTTTTCTTGCCTTCCATTAGGATCTTGCAATGGAAGATTTGATTCTTTCCTTGTAAATAGTTTATATGATCTAGCACATCAGCTGCTATATAAATCACATCAGTGTACAAATAAAGGATTAGAAGAAACTATCTGGATAAGAGAAAGAAATTTTTTGTTCTTGGACAGAGGCTACTGCATAAGATAACCACTTTTGTGACAGGAAAAGGAATTATTGGGAAATAATGGGAATTTTGTCTCTATTGCTGATTAGAAAGCTGTTCTAGGCACTTTATCTCTGAAAGCTTCTGATTTCCATTCTAGTTTGTATAGATTGTCAACAGAATCCTTTGACTTAAACAGCTCTTGGCCCTTAAACTCAAACATTTGTGGACTGTGCCAGTTCTCACTTCTTCAGATGAGCATTTGTGGTGGTTGATAGTCCAAATGTACTTACACAGATCATGAATTTGTAACAAGAAAGAATATTTCAGTTGAAAAAAAACTCAGTAACTTTAAAATGCATTTAGAACAATAAGAATGCTATTGCTGCCAGGCGTAACAAAAATAGCAGCAAGATGGAGTTGTGGTAACACATCATTTGGATCAATGAGGTCCAGAGGTCCAGGACAAAGAGTTTCCACTGTATTTGTAAGAAGACATCATAACTGTTCTCAGTCTCTTTTTTTTTTTTTTTTTGACTCTGGTCCATATGAACTCTTTTGAAAAAATGTGGATTTCTCTCTTGTTAGTGTGTGGTAACTCTCCAGATCTTATCTGGGTTTAGGGATCCACACTGTGTAAGCAACAGCTCTCCCCTTCCTGAAGCAGCAACTAACCTAGAATGAGGTGGAGAGCAGAGCTTGCTCCTTCAAGGGCTGCCTGCTGCTGGTTGATGTGATTGCTGGGATGCTACCACAGGAGACCATTGCCTTTGCCCCTCCAAATCTGGCAGCAGGGGAGAAGAGATACTCAGCTACGTTACGCTATGTTAGTCAGTCAAACAAACATTTTCTGTGTCCACTGAGGAAATAAAGAAAGCATTTCACAAGCCATGTCTGATAGACTAGCTGTTAGTGGGATAATGCCTGATCTAGGACATGCTTCCCCTTGCAACACAGATGCTGCAATCTCTAGTGATTCCTTGGTTTTGAACAGGTTATAAATGCTCATGCTTCTATCAGAAGCAATCCTCTATCTAAGAGGGAGGAGGAGGAAACATCTACCATGAGCACATCACCATGCACTCTGTAGTTTCCTGTCCCTTCTTCTGGGCATTAATAGCACTAGCTATTTAAGTCCAAGCATGACCCTGGGCTTAATGAAGTTTAACATGAGACCCATGTCAATTCAGATATGCACCTAGAATGATTGTGCTCTCATGGTTAGTGGTTGATTTTTAAAAATGAATATGCAAAAATCTAACATAAAATCAAAGTAAGCTTTCAGTAATGTGTTTGTATGCTGATTTTGGTAGTGGAGGTTCAAAGTTCTACTGCACTATTAACCAGTGATTCTTCCTCATCTGCAGACTGAGATCTCTAAGTTTTTTTCTAGAAGAAATGATCACTTTTCATCAATGGAGCTGTAATATGTAAAACTGAGTAAGGAGCACTGCTTGTCACTGTAAGGTTTGGATAAGAACACAGTTGAAATGTCTTATTTTACACCAGGATCATACCCCTAGCTGACAAGCAATTACCTGCTACCAAATAGGTTAAATGCAAATTTTTGTCTGAATGGCAATAATTGAAGCTTTTACCTTCTGCTGAGTGCATTTGTTCTCACAGTCTTAATAACTTGTGGTAGAAAGTTCCCTTCTGAAACCTGTGTGTTTGGAGGGAGTCACTGTTGCAACAGAGACTTCCTTTGTTATTCTTAAGCACTGCACTTCTCACAATTTCCCTCAGGCCCAAGAATTTGGGACTGAGCCAGGATTGTTAAAGCTTCAGGCTCTGTAACCAATGGCTATAACATTCAACTGTGGATTTCCCAGTGAGGCTGTTAACCCATTTGGCTTTACCTATTGACAGTATATCCCACAGTTTATAGGAGAAAGGAGCACATTGTTTATCCTGGTCTGGGGATTAACTAAGAAGAAAGGGGAAACATATTCTGAACACTGGAAAATTCTTTTTCATGGCCACAGCAGGCTGAACAAGATGGTTTCTTGTCTATTCCTCCTCCTCCAGACTGGCAGCTACCCTATGCCCATACAAATATTCCCAGACATGACTCAACAAAGCTGCAGTCAATGTAAACAGAGAAAGGAAGTCATGCTTACTACTCTGTCATCCTGCAATGATGGTACTATGTGAGGAATGTGCCTTAATTAATGTCAAAAACCTCCCTGACTTGCTGTTAATATAGTGGCGTGGTGCCAATCTACAGCAAAGGGGAAATGCAAAGAAAGAGTCTCCAGATGCATGTCTAAGCTCGTTTCGAGGGGAGCGAGATCACATGCAAAGGTCTTTGTGGAGGTGCTGCAGCACTAGTAGCTGTATGTAGAGCATAGAAGGGAAAACAGAGGGGCAAACACTTTCCTAAGGCTGGGAAAGCAAAGAAGGACGAGTTAAACCTCAATTTTTACAGCATTTGTTTATTAGGAACACAAGTTTCGGCTGTGAAGGAGACACTTGACTCTGGATAATTCAGAGTTGTCATGTTCGAAGAGCTAATAATTCTCTAATTGATTGTAATCTAATTGATTCTGAAAACAGACTGAAAAACCTCAGAGTCCTGCTTTAGTTTCCTACAGAAGAGTCATGGCTTTCACCATTAGTCAAGATCTGATCTGATTGTTTACTTATAGCCTCCATGGGGAACTGCAGCTTTAGGCAGCAGGGCCAAGTTTGCTCTGAAGTCTGAGTGAGGGTGGGAGCACAGCTGGGCCTTTCAGGCTCTTGAAACTCTGTGGATAGCCAGTATCAGAGGTGCCTGCAGAGTTTCTGTAGATCCTTTGGCAGACAGAAGAAGGAATCTGCTCCAAAACACAAAGCTACTCTAAAGATGCTAGTGAATTTATGTCATGAATATAGAACTTCATTCTCCCTGGATTAGAGGGGAGACTGAAGGCATCTCACTACAGCAGCAAAGTGAAGGGATAAATCTGAGAACTCTCCAAGAAAATGGTGCCCTGACACTGATCTGACACAGGAGGCAGAAGATCAAGTGGCCTTGAGCTAAAGAGCAGAACTGAGCCTTGGATCCTCAGTAGAAACACTGCATCAGCTCTATATTCCATTTGTGAGAAATTTTAGGAGTAAGCAATGAGCACAGGGGAAAACATGGGCAGCAAGATGATCCCATTCAGTATTAGAGGAATGCATACAAATCTGTATCAAGAACCAGATCCTTATATAGCAGATGATATCTTATTTATGCTGCTAAACCCCTTTTGGACTTAGTCCTTCTCTTATTTTCCTCAGTGGGATCTAAATAAATGTTGTTCGGTTTCTGTCTTTCACAGTGGAAAATCTCACTGGCTGAGGAGCGAAGCTGCTTTAAGATGCATCAGCCCTGCAGACCTTTGCTGACTTTTGCTTTAGTGTTCAATATTGATTTCTTACAGTAATTCCCTTTCTTTCTGCTAATTTCTGCTTTTTACTCTTAATTACAAAGTAACAGCTACAGAGAGCCCCCAGCAATCTGCAGGCAAACCTCAGCTCTTTGAGTTGTTAGGCAACAGAAGAATTAAAACAGTAAAAAAATCTTTGAAAACTTACCTCAGCCAAATATGTAACCATACTCAATGTAATATCAGCAAAAGCTTCATGAAGGTAACGGCAAACCACATTTACCCAGGTAGCACAGTCCCTTGTATAGCTATGTGTTTTATAAAGGGTCATGACATGTGCAAGATTTGATAGCTTGGGGTTCTTCTCCTCCAAACAAACCTAATTAAATATAAATGTCAAAACACATTAAGAACAAGGCAACTGCATTGACAGGGTTTGAGGATGTATAAAACAGTAAATAACTTTAATACCTGAGCGATCCTTTCTGCTATATCTTTACAAAACTGGTTTGGGCTGTCAAAATGCTGAATTAAATGGGGCAGGAGACACAAAACATTCAGTGGAAATCCTAGAACAGGAAAATACAGAAAAAAATGTGTATTTTGGACCGTAAGAGCCACAGTGATCTTCAAGTTGGTGTTTCACGGGAGGTCACAGTTTCAGTATTACATTAGCTGTAAACTCACACAGACTCTGTCGAGCTGCTCATGCCACTGGCCATGCCACATTTGACTTAAGAGTCCTTGTTTTGAAAAGGCCTAATAAGAGGCCTTAACTTGAAAATCCAGTATATCGTTTAGGCAACAGTACTGTTACAAAGCATGAATCTATTTCTGCAAACACTACCACACAAACAGGTGTTTCCAGGATAAAATATCTCACAAAAGCATGTATTTTATTCCTGTTAGAGAGTATGTTTATCTTTTCCACTTAATGGGCTTTACTGGCAGTCTTAACTGGTGGCATTTTAATTACTCCTGCTAAAACACAAGAAGAAATTTATTGAGTATTGATAAATGAACAACTGTTTTGGTCAGGCTGCCAGGTACAGCTTCCATTGCTTTATACTGTTCAAGTGAATAATAATAATAATGAATCAAAATTCTGATAGAACTGTTCAGATGAGACTACTCAAATGATGTTTCTGAAGCTAGAAGATGGCTCCTGTGCCAAGTGCCAGCTGCTGTCTTTAGCGCAAGGGCTTTGTCTGGAGCTGGGATCCAGCTCTTCTGCACCAACTCATAGCTTAAGGTAGCTGATGAACTACAGACAGCGACTGTAACCGGGAGCTGTAACAAAAGCTGCTCCAGTTCAGGTGGGAGCTCAGAGCTCAGAAGTTAAGAAATTGTATCTGGACACAATTTGTTTTTTGAAAAGAAAGAATCTGATCTAAGGAAATATCTTGCTAACCATTCATTCTGTCTCATTCTACACAATTAAGTTGCCTAAGCTAGAAGCATATTGTCCCTCCACACTCAGGGAAAAGAAGATGTCTCCAGATGGCACCATCACAGCCCATGTGTGAATTGCCCAACTGAAGTCTGAAACACAGGTACCACACAGGTGCTTCAAAGATGGGCAGGCTGTTCATGGCACTCATCTCCTCACTCCATGTCTAAGATTGTTATGACTTAGTTGTGAAGCCTGCACAATTGTCTTAATATTTGTGTTTCGACTGAGACAGAGGATTAAATATCTAGAACAATACAGAAACTCTCTTCAAGAAATAGAATTCAGTAGTTGCCACAACCTTAACTAAATAATTGGGAATTTCAAAATGTTACCTTATTTTCTTATAACCCAGGCCTCTCTCCTCACTCACTAACATGCTATTGTAGTTTATCTAAAAAGTGTACAAGAGTTTTCAATGTTTATATTTATAGGAAAAATACCATGAAGCCTTAATTTAAAATCAAATAATTTGCAATATTCTGAAAATAATTCAGTGGAAAATCTAGCCAAAATAGGTTCTAGAAAATTTTACAGTATCTCCTTACATATGCTTATTTTGTCAGCACTCAGAAACTTTCTATGTTGCTAAGCCCTAGATCTGAAATGTGAAATAATACATGACCGCTTTCCTCCAAAACCTTATTGTACAACAGATTCACTTTTCAGAAGTGTGTTATATTGCTACGAAACTTCCAAAAAGCCCATCCAACTCAAAGCAAAAGTACATTATGCTACATTAGAACAGAAAGGAAAAATGACGGTTTTGGTTTTCTGCAGATTGCCTAATTCCGTCATCAAATGTCAAAGCAATGGAAACCGAAAGAGAGAAAAGTATACTAGTTTTACCTATAGCTTGAGAGGAATCCACCATGGATATTCGAGACACTGGTGTCAGCAAACTGAAGAGCTGTAGTGTCAGATCAGTGGTAGTAAGGGATGTGAATCCTTTCAGGAGTAGCTGCTGAAGCCCTGAGAAGTCTGCCCACTTCAGCTGCCCTTGCAACTTCTCTAACTTCTCCCGGTTTTCAGCTTTATCTAGTGGCAAATGAGCCAGAAGTTTATTCAGTAACCGCAATGCCATTAGATACTCAAACTCAAAATCCGATTCCATCAAAGCCACAGCAACCCAGAAGATGGTGGCCAGTAGGTTGGTTGGATTGTTAATATGGGATGGGTCAGTGAGACTGTCCTTTAGAGAAGATGAACTCCTGGTTTTAGAGGACAGGCCTTGTTGGGTGCATGCCTGAATTCTGTCTAGTGTGGCACTGCGTGGTGGGTCCGAGGACTTGTCCACATCTCCGAACTTTTTGGGCACAGAGAAGCTCCTCTGGTGCCTGCTTCGTTCAGCAGTGGCTGTGTTACCACTCGCAGGATTCACGTTCAGCTGTCCTGTGCTCTTCCGGTTTGCAGTCAGTTTGGTGCTTGAGGTCAAATCTGGCGAAGATGAACTGAACCCAAAATATAGAACATATATTGCAATGTGTGAATGCACAGCTTGAAACCTATATATATTGGATGCAAGTTTACCAAACTGTAAATAAACATTTAAATAGGAAAAGTAAACCACCACATTATCTACTGCAAACTGTCTTTTTTTTCAGAAATGCCCACAGACGTGACTGAAGTGAGGTTCATGTGGCACTGCGCAAAGCTGGAGCAGGATAGCCTACAGTCTAGATAGGCAAGAATGGCACAGGGATAAGAGAAACAGAGCTGTGAAGTGAATTGTGGAAATATACTCATAAAGTGGGGCAGTGGTAGAATTGAAACCAATTTTGGTCTTCAAAATGCCCTCATCAGTGAAGCAAACCCTGAATTTGGGACAGCTGGCAGGCAAAATGCACAATGGCTTACTGGCTAATTTGAGAACTGTGGGCAGAAAAACAGCATTATCTTAAGCAGAATGACAAATATGCTGCATTATCCTCAAGAAATCTGCCACATGGTTCTCTAGGTTCTTGTTAGTACAGGCCTTCAGAAACCATGTCGTCATTGCATCCTCCCCTGCCTGTATCCTAAGATCTCTTCAAGACGGTTTAGAGCAAGTGGAGGTGTTTGAATTTCAGTGACTGTGATGCCTCCTCATGGGCTATCATGTGATGATCCAGACAATCCCTATCAGTTATCTGTACAGATGAGCATGCTGTGTTGATATATGCAAGGGAAGTTTCCTCTGGAGAACAGTTAATTCCCGACTCTCTGGTCCCATTCCTAACTCATATATTATGAATCCCTACTGTCCATAATATTTGAAGAGGATCTTCTGGAATCAATAATGTCAGAGTAGAGAATATTGCAACCCACTGCTTTCAGGAGTGTTTCTTATTTTCTGCTCCATCTGAAAAGTGCACTAAAGAAAGATAAATAGCCCTTAGTTTAGAAAGTAGAAGCTGTATTTCCCCACCTCTACTCTGTCACAACAGTTCCACTGTTGCAGTATAATACATAGCACCCTGCCTACTAGCTTCAGAAGTGACAGTCCATGTATTTTTGTTCTGCATGTGAAGCATGGTAACTTTTGGACATTTTTCTAACACGTTCTCTATTCCATTGTTGCTATTAGGAGTCAGATAGACATTAATCTTCTGCAGTACCGACAACAGCTGTGTTATAGAAGGAGCCTGCAATTTCCCTCCATGTACAAAGGTCTGCTTTAAGGCCAAGGGTTTCATAAAGATGGTCTACATGTCTGGCAAAATCCATGGGTTAGGTATACATGGGACAAAATTCTCCCTAGTTTTATTGAGGAGAACAAAGTGTGATCATTTATTTCTTGAGTAATACCTCATCTAAGAATGACAGGTTGTATGAAACCAATATTCCAAAACCCATGTTTCTTCCTGGATATGTTTTCAAGTATACCGTAAAAAGGTGAAAAAAATAAAATATTTTTAAAGAATGTTAAAGTAAGTTATACTCAAGTAGCAGCAAGGCAGAATTTACAATGCATTGTAAAGTTCCATTAGTTCTATCAACATTATTTCAGCTACTGCAAAATTTGGCTGAGATGTACTTTTCGTCTAGTTCTCTGAAAGTTACAAATAAGCTCAGTCTTATCAAAATAATATTATGCTGTCAGACTGCAGAACTGCACACTTAATATCATGAGACACTGGAAAAAAAAAAAAGATATAGTTAGGAAAAAAGGCTCTTACCGCGATAACACTGTCAAGAGATCACTGTTCTTCAAACAGTCAGACAGATTATCCACAGCAGCCTCCAAAGTAAGTAGTGCTTCCATTACGTACCCCTATCAATGCACAAGGTTAGCCATTTCAACACAGACATTCAAAAGAGTGAACATTTAAAATCTTCAGTTCATAAAAGGAATAGGCACCTACTGACACCCTGTCATTTCTCCTGAAAAAAAGAACAACATTCATATCAACGCCACTGCCCTGAACATTAAAATGTCACTACAAATGTGTTTTATTTTCTGCCTCTGACTGATCCACAAAGGCATGCAAGAAGGGCACGTATCTCCTCAGAGGACTGGTAATGGCCTACAGAACATCTGCCTTGCAGGTCACTGATTTAAATTCTGCACAAGCAGTTGTGACAGAATATTACTGTCATCTTGTGGCAGTTTCATTACCTAAGTAAAATATGAAGGTGATGTCAGTCTATTTCTTATTAAGAGCCAGTAGTTCTCTTTATTAAATCTTGAATCTCGCAATAAATAGTCTCTGATTGTAAAATTTCAAGAGAGAACAGTCTGTTTAGCTAAATGAAGTGAACATCATGGTTCACTAAGAGAGGACTGGATCAAATTAGGTCAGTGTAAGCTTTGTATTGTTATGGATAGTGTAGATTTCTTTATTCCAAAAGATGTTAACATTTGAGAAACGAGGTGGTGTCTACTTCACGTCAGATTATGCCATCAGACAGGATGATGGGTGCCTTAAGCACAAATTAATGATGTGAAAAGGGAAAAAGTGGTCACCACGAAGATTTCATTCTGAGTGACATCTACTAGATGTTTTCTAGTTGTTCTCTTTAGAGCTATATAAGATTGTAACAGCCTGATGAAGGCTTTCATAAGGTACATATGGATTCAGTAAACTCAGAGGTAACCTTTTCTAAGGCCACATTCTACTTTGCATCACTTGACTCCAGAACACCTTGTTAATATGGTGATTTTAAATTAAGTATACATTAATTCAACAGTACTAAGAAGCATTATGTACACATGCATACTTGAATCTCATCTCCATGCTCTCCAATAACTTCCACCAATCTTGACAGGAGGTCAGACAATGCATGTGCAGAAAGGGGCTGCTTTAAGGCCCTGAATATCTGGAAAGAGCGACCCGCGTAATGTCTTGAAGAGCTTGAAAGGGCTGTTTGTAAAGCAACTTCACTCAGATGCTGCTCCAAATGAAAACCTAAGAAAAAGAACAGGATGTCAATTTATTTTTTTTTTTAATGACACACTACTTTAAACAGGCTGAACCAACTGCGAGGGGAGGATATGTACTGTAGTGTATCCTGTAAACCCTATGAGAAATGGAGATGCAGAAATGTCTGTGTTTGTGAGAATTTCCCACTGTTTACATTTATTTCATGCAGAATATAAGAAAATAAAATGTAAACCCAAAGTTCTGAGTCTGCAAATGTTTGTCAGCAAAAACCTGAAATTCTTCATCTGATGCAATTTTTTTACAGTTCCTGGATAAACTACCAAGCCATTCACTATTCTTGCTGGCAGCAACACAGTAACTTCTGAACACTCTCAAACCGAAAGCCAAGCTGAATTAGAGTTTTTCTATTAGCTTCAGTAGGCTTTGGATAAGATCTTAAATATAAATACTGGTGCTGGATTCTGCTTTGATCTTGGAAGACATTTAATTAGTGACTGTGAGGGTTTTCAAAATATAATCAGTACATTTCCCAAGCTCAAAAAACATAACAAATTAAAACTAAACTTTAAGTGCCAGAAGAACTTTAACAAACTACATTTACTTAGTAACTGTGATGTATTTTACCAACACGACATAGAGGACTTTTTTTTTCTGTAGAATCAATCAAAAGGCTTTCTACCAACAGCTTTGAAGAAATGTTTGATTTAACATCTAGCCACAGTCCAATCTAACATGATTTTTTACAGCAATTCTTTCGTATGTTGTACATCCTTGTTAAGACATACAATATGTCATACTTCAGCATAAGCAGATACACTAAGTCACAGGATAAACATTCAGCGTGACCTTGAAGGAACATTTTTTTACTTATTAGGAAAAGAAAATTTAGTTATTAGGAAAAGAAATTACTACCTGACTTGGAATCTTTAAATACAGATACAACATGACGCAGAAAATTAGTAAGCTGTTCAGCACTCTTGGTGTTCTGATTTTTGGGAGTGATATCTTCATGGCACCAAAGTGGACCAAATGCCCTTAAAGAAATACACAACAAAGTGCAAAATTTCTCTGAGTTATCTGAAATAAATGTAATCAGTTAAAATACATAAACTGTATAGCCTGGGAAACATGCAACTGAACAGAATTTTATGAGCAAAATATACGCAAATAAATCTTCCTATTTTCAAAACCTCTCTTTTAAAATATAAGTTATACTATTTAGACAGCAGCATAAACAAACCCTTGTTTTTAATTTTAACATTGCGCCTAGGATCTGCTGGCTATAGTGAGCAGTTAATATTAGCTTCACCATGGCCTTTCACTATGCCCTGTACACTTCCTATTTCATATTATAGTAATAAAATTCTCTTCTTCCATTAGTTCCTTTTGAAAATAATACACTATCAGTCAATTAAACATTTTATTCCTGTCAGGCAAGATTTTTTTCTATTGTTCCTGGCACTGTAACGCTTTTAAGCACCTACCTACTTCTACAGGTATCAATAAAAGAGGAATGGGAGTCTGTAATTACTATAAAAGCTCAGTCATTTTCCTTTGAGTCTTTTAAGTTGCTACAGATAATTGTAGAGAAGACTTGAAAGTATGTGTTTCGAGTACGAATGTAACCTCTGCTTATCTCCATTACCTGGTTGTCAGAAACTCAATTAATTTGTTTGCTTTCTCATCTGTTTCAGCAGCAGTGTCCATGTCCTCAACCTCTTGTGTAATCTGTGGGAGATTTCCACTGCTGCCTCCCAGGCTGATACTGGAGGAGGTGGAGCTGGAGCTCAAGCCGGAATCTGGCACCGGAGAAGACTGGTATTCCCGCAGAAAGTCAAAGCCACCTGCCAGCCGAAAGGGAGGAGATAAAGATGGAATGCACTGTTGGGCCAGCATTGCAGATGAAAGCGTCTGCCAAGCAGCTCCTTTCGGAGTCAGCAGCAGAAACCTTCTACTGGGAAACACGGGGAAAACCTGCAGAATACAACAACCCCTCAAACCCTGATGGGAGTGAAAATGGTACTGTGTTTCTAAACATGCAGAATCCAGTATAAAATGATTAATATCAAAGTCAAGATATTTATTTTTTTTTACTGCTTGAGGGCTACACTACTTGAAAAACAAATGCTTCAGGGCGTTTTACATTCAGAAGTATGACTTTTTGTAAAGTGAATTTTGAAGTTGGCTACGTGCATGTGAAGTTCAGCTCACTGCTCTGGGCTAGTCTGATGAGGAAAAAAACTCCACAGGGTGGAATTTTTTAGGACAATGATATTGTCCTAATTTTACAAATGTAATGGAAAACAAGACACAAATGTTTTAAGACTTCTGTTCAACACCTTCAGTAACTGTAAACACTGGACTACTCATACTAAATGTTCTCAGCATTAAGATTAAACATCTGAATAAGAGTTCTGCTAAATAAAAAGCTTGCCACACAACTTCAGAGCTGAAATTAGAAACTAAGAACTGTTTTCTCAAGGTCAGACTGCTAGTCATCTTAGGCTGTATCTACAACAGAAAAGCTGGCCTTTCAAGAAGACTGAGAGCAGGAGGGGCCCCTCCACTGATAAAATCCATTGCAGGTCAGGAGACTCTTCATTTAGTTGCCTGACAATATGTGGAACAAACCCGAGCTGAAATGTTTTCAGTTAGGATTCTTTGCTATAGCTACTCACTCACACTCTCGCTTTGTATTAGCTGCTCAAAAAAGAGTCCAAATATAAAGTTTTGATAACTTCTTGGACTTAAGAGGCCCAGACACAGGGTACCAACTATGTTTTTCAGACACGGGAATGAAACAGTTTTTCATTTTGGCAGAAAAGCAATAATATAATTTTAATGTAAGAATTTTATTCTGTATTTAATAATTCATGGACATGCATTAGAAAAGAGATCTACACAACCCAAGGCAGGAAATTCACGTGTGAGGTAATTTTGCACAGACATTATTCAGAACGAAACCTGAATGGCCAAACTAATTCATTAATCTGAAATACCTATCCCTTCTCCTCATTACTCTAAAATAATTCTTTTATGTCTTATGAAAAATAATAATCAGTTATCAAATAATATTCTTTATAAGGCAAAATATTTATTACTTTTTGTTATATTCCTAAAGAACCACAGAAATGCCACTAGTTTGGTAATCTTTTCATTTCTTACTGTAGGGTAAAGTTCCTCACTCTCTCCCAGACAGCTAATCCCACCTCCATACTCTACATTCGTTCTACGATTCTGTCAGATCTCAACTGAACACTTACTTTTAATAATATTACATGACAGTAGTAAATCTAGCCAGCAGCTTTCTACAAACTGTTCCCAACCAAGCCCTTAAAAACAGGTAAATTGCTAAAAGTTAACAGAACACCCATCTCAGCAGAGGTCTGAAGTAAGCCTCCTGATGCAGAAACAAATCTCAGGACAGAAATGAAGCATATCTGGGATATAAAGGAGGGTGTATATCATGTGAAATTTAACTTAATAATGGAAAATCCGAGCTGCACATTCTTGCTGCTTTTCCTGTACTGGAATTATTTATTCATTTCTTTTGAAGGTTGAGGAGTGATTACCCTCATTTAAAGTAGTCCTTGTTCCCTGAGGGAGAAGTTAGGAAGTTATTAGCCATATTAATGTTTAAAATTCTACATTATATATTTTGCCTTACATCAGATAGCTTTCTCACTATCAGGAAAAGTTATCTAATAATAATTTGGGCACATCTCTAGGGTAGTTCACATGGAATTAATATTAATGGGAACTGTTCATATTTGTCACTTTACTACTTTAATTTATCAAAACTGTTACATTTTAGGAAAGTAACCTTGACATCCTACTTTCAAAAACCTCACAGTATAATGCAATGTTAATTTCTTCTTTTGCTTTATTACCTGTATAAAGATATTCAGGTAAGTATGCTGGTTGTACTGTCAGAGTCTTGGTCTCATTCATCTCTCTGGTCTGAAGAAGCACTGATGCAATGGCTTGATAGTTGCTATTGCAAGATAATGCAATCAGAAGGTGAAGCAGTAACTTTTTACTGTGTTCAAAGACCTCAGGGCGGTAATGGTCAAGGCCTAAAAGAAAAGGTCATGGCAATCACTGAATATGAAGTAATAATAAACAAGTTCACATTCCAGAAATAGCAAAAATTCCAAGGCAGTTCATGGCTACAGTGCAAACAAACAAAAGATGTAGTATTTCCAGACACAGTTACTAGTGGTTTTACCTAAAAGTATGTGTATATGTAGTTTCCAGACTGAAGTACCATACATAGGTACAAAATGTGTGGCAATACAACTTTATGCATTCTCTCTCAGCACAGTGCTAATTTGACAGGGCTGGAAAACCTCTAAAGATAATAAATTATTGGTGGTGGTTGTAGTCGCATCGCTTACCTCAGCATCTGGCTTTCTTGCCCAGACATCAGTTTCACAATGAGTGCAAACTGTAAGAGGTATTATTAAGAAAGGAACTGACAGACAAAATCTCTTGAAAAAGAACTTCAGGTACCAGTGAGCAGCATAAGAAATTAGCTACTAGCTCAGGGTGCAGAACTGAAACTGAAGGTCTAGCACTGAAACACTCTGATCTGGTTCACGCTACTGCTGTTTGTAAGATTTTAACACAACCTGAATAATCCACAAATCACAAATATGAAGGAAATGGATGTTTGTCCCAGCCCTGGAGCTGTTCAAGGCCAGGTTGGATGAGGCTTTGAGCCACCTGATCTAGTGGAGGGTGTCCCTGTCCACGGCAGGGGGGTTGGAACTAAATGATCTTTAAGGGTCCCTTCCAACCCAAACCATTCTATGATTCTATGATTCTATGAAACTGCACTCTGTGGTAGTAATCTCTGCGATTCTCTTTCAGTATGTTCCAGGACATTTACAAATACTTTCTTCCATTTAGGGGCGGCTTCAGTGCTGAAAAATTGAACTCTTTTCTTCTTCAGCTCCTCTCTTCTGAGGACATATTCCTCTTTAAAAAGCAGCTGCGCCATTACTCTAAGTGGCAGCAGCCAACAGCTCTTTCAAGTCAGGTGTTTTCTAATACACTCTAGTCACGCTGGTTCTTGTCTGGCATGCAAAAATGAAGCTGCTTATACTGCCATAGTCTGAAAAATGTGTCTTTGGCTCCTATGGGCAAAAAATGAAGCTGCTTATACTGCCATAGTCTGAAAAATGTGTCTTTGGCTCCTATGGGCAGGTCTTTGGAGGTCCTGTGATCTTTGGTCTTACTCATCTGACCATAGCCTCCTCCAAAAGAACCACAGCCAACTTGCCCACCTCTTTTTCAGCTTCTTCAGGTTTCTGCTCCTATTCTCCTTTCTCCACTTCTTTCCACCGGCCAGGAGATAATGAACCCATCCTACCTTGTTCTAATAGATACTGAAAAGAGTATTAAAAGTTCTTTCAGTTGAAAATAAATTCTATATTGGCAGCACTAGTGACTGAAATCCTGTTAAACCCTAGGGTTGTATGAAATATGACAGATATGCTAACTATGACGTGAGAAGGACAGTTCAGTCTTTGTGTGTGTCTAGTGCCGCCTTTAACTTGTAATAGTTCCCAAAACGGCAAACTTCTGTGACATGGACACATTTCTATGGGAAAGGAGTCTAGCTGTTCAACTCATTTCTTACTGGTTGCAAAAGACATTTTTAAGCAGCAGTGATTTTCATGCACTACTGAGATAGGTAGGTTCATACTAGCAGTGTGCCTCTCTACTTCACCATCAGTAGTATGAACCATCCAACAGCCTATTAAACATATACATTGTAAAATACTTTCATTTTAGTATTTTCTCACTCCTTCCAATAAATGAAAGAATACAAGCTCTCCAGCTAGCCACCACACCAGTTTCCAGTCTCCTCTTTGGTCAGGTGCATCTGCCTACTCACATTCCAATAGGATAGAAATATTTCATTTTCAATCAAATTCATACCTTTGGTTAACATTTGTAGCATAACTTCCTTACACCCTCACAGCAGAGCTCTACTACAAAACATACAGAAATTTTTCATAGGACGTGAAATGACAGAGAAATTGAACTTTAAGTCTGGAGGCTGTGATCTCATTTTAGTTACCACTAAACCAGTTACATTTAGTTACCAGTTACATTTAGCTTTAACTTCACATTTGAGAACTGAGAGTTCTTAACCAAGGGACTGTCTCAAATAGTATTCATAAATTTCTATTTATTTCTTATGAAAAAATGTAATTCTGAAACATTACTGCATGAACAAATCAGTAAAGGTATTTTTATAATGGATTACTAATATCGTAACTCTGTTTCTGCATATGATTATTTGCATGGCTTCCTGATGGCTCCTTAAAGCTGTCTTAACTGAAGTGGCCATGCTGCTGCATACTATTCCTGTCTTAAGTTATTAATTTATTCTTGTGAGAATTTCTAACTGTAAGCACCAGTTTTCTCACACTTGTTACAAATCATACTAAAGATGTCTTTTGATCAGTTGATGGCTATTGATTTGATTCATACACTTACCCAGTTATCTTTCTGCTCCCTCTTACACTTAAAAAGTTCACAGCCATATAAAAAACAAGTAAAAAACTATGGGCAGTCACAAAACAGATTTAACTTTTAAGTGAAGAATATATGTGAAACATCATATTGACACTGACCCTGGAAGTCCCATCTGACACGGTCCTGGCTGTTATTCTTGTGTTTCGTTAGAAGTTTGTTGAAATCAATGCACTACTATACAAAACTTGAGTATTTGGTGAGTGTGCATTTTCAAAAAAACTCTCTTTGATTAAAAACTTTCAAACAGAACAGTTGGTAACAGAGTAGCAGAAAATGAGAATGAGGTATCTTCTTCAACTATATACTGAAGTATATCACATATATTCTACCACTGTGCTGTAACCTCCCAACTTAATCTTCTTTACCCACTGAACAACAGACTCTTCCCAGATTGCCAGTGAATAGACTTCGTGGTAACTATGGTGACTGAATGAGATGTGGGCTGTGATCTCCAGTTATAATAAATTTCTTTCACAAGTGTCTGGCTGTGTTTATTTGTGAAAACTATTATTTATCAACCAGGAAAGTCAGGGAATGACTTTGTAATGTTAAATACTCTGGTGTGCTAAAAAATTAGGCCACTCACTTTTCATAATGTTAAGTGGCAGGATAAGGAAGGTATCACCCTCCAGTTGAACTGTTATGACCAAGAACAGACACAGCAGTGGGAAAAAAGCAGTGCCTCTATGCTCAGGTGTATAAGGGAAGACACTGACAATAAAGTTTTCCATTAGCAGTGAAACTAATGAAGCCTGCTTTCCAGTGGTCTGTGTCCTGCCTTCCCTATCTCTGCAGTACAGTCATCTCAGCTCTCTTACGTAATATTTCTGCAAAGGCAAGAGACAGCACTGGTGTGTGTAATCCAGGTCTAAGGCATGTGCCGACTGTACAAGGGCTGAGTTTCACCCACCTTTCTCACAGAGCAGGGCTAATACTCAAATGCTTCAAAGTTTTGAAATGACTAAATCACAGACAGTAATTGCCTCAGACTTTTTTTAAAAAAAATCATTAAAAACATATTAAGAAACACAACTCTACAGCTTCAGCAAAACTAAA